AATTAAATCAGTTAACAAAAAGTTGATTTTCCTATTAGCAAAGCTCTCCTATCAACTCAAGATATGCTGTGAACAAGGGTTTGTTTGTTTGTTTTAAATACTGCGGGCCCAATCCTGCTAACACTTACACATATACATGTGTGAATTTATTCATGTGTACAACTGTTTGCAGAATTAGGCCCTGGGGGATCTCAATTGTGCAAGGATGTTGAGCATCTTTTGAAATGTGCTCAGAGCCTTCAACTCCCATTGCCTTCAGAGGGTTCGGAGGAGGCTAAGCAGAATGCTACATGCACTCTCCATCTTTCAGAAACGAGGTGTGTATATTACCTGTATTTAAATGTACCTTTTAAAATAAATGCAATAATTCCAGGTGCACATTTAGAAGCACTTTCAATTTTTGTAAATAAAATTTTGTGAAACAAAATATATTGTCTACTCCACTGGAGTATATAAATGTTTAAAAATCTGGGGTTTATGTTTTTCATTTTAATGTAAACAAAAATGTCTATTTACAGACAAAGAGGGGCTGGAACTAATTAATAATAGATATTACTTTAGTAAACAGTTTTTTAAAAATCAAATACACAAGGATGAAAAAACCCAGACTTTTAAAATGCTCCTATACATGAGACATCAAACCCACTCACACTTTTTTGAAATTTCTTCCCTAATTACTTTGACATAAAATGAATCGAAAAATTAAATCAAGTCTTGACCTTAACATTAAAATAAAATGTAAAGTAAATATTTAAGCTAATTAACTTTAGCTCTTCTTCCCTCACGTTTCCTTCTTTTGCTTGGTTCTCTTGATTTGGTGTCACAATATTATCTACTTACTGCTGTTAGCAGACTATGATGATGTCAAGGTTCCTCCCCCACTCTGAACTCTAGGGTACAGATGTGGGGACCTGCATGAAAAACCTCCTAAGCTTATCTTTACCAGCTTAGGTCAAAACTTCCCCAAGGTACAAAATATTCCACCCGTTGTCCTTGGATTGGCCGCTACCACCACCAAACTAATACTGGTTACTGGGGAAGAGCTGTTTGGATGCGTCCTTCCCCCCAAAATACTTCCCAAAACCTTGCACCCCACTTCCTGGACAAGGTTTGGTAAAAAGCCTCACCAATTTGCCTAGGTGACTACAGACCCAGACCCTTGGATCTTAAGAACAATGAACAATCCTCCCAACACTTGCACCCCCCCTTTCCTGGGAAATGTTGGATAAAAAGCCTCACCAATTTGCATAGGTGACCACAGACCCAAACCCTTGGATCTGAGAACAATGAAAAAGCATTCAGTTTTCTTACAAGAAGACTTTTAATAAAAATAGAAGTAAATAGAAATAAAGAAATCCCCCCTGCAAAATCAGGATGGTAGATATCTTACAGGGTAATTAGATTCCAAAACATAGAGAACCCCTCTAGGCAAAACCTTAAGTTACAAAAAAGATACACAGACAGAAATAGTTATTCTATTCAGCACAATTCTTTTCTCAGCCATTTAAAGAAATCATAATCTAACACATACCTAGCTAGATTACTTACTAAAAGTTCTAAGACTCCATTCCTGGTCTATCCCCGACAAAGACCAGCATATAGACAGACACACAGACCCTTTGTTTCTCTCCCTCCTCCCAGCTTTTGAAAGTATCTTGTCTCCTCATTGGTCATTTTGGTCAGGTGCCAGCGAGGTTACCTTTAGCTTCTTAACCCTTTACAGGTGAGAGGAGCTTTCCCCTGGCCAGGAGGGATTTCAAAGGGGTTTACCCTTCCCTTTATATTTATGACAGATGCCCTGTCAGTCTTCTCTAAAACAAACTGAGATGACACAGATCAGTATACCTGAAGTATGTCCTAACTCTCTGCAGTTTTCCTTCTAGCTGCCAGTATATGTCCTTTCCAGGTTCTCTTTACCTGCAGGAAGGAACTGCTTCAAAAGCAAACCCCTTGGCCTGTTGCCTCAGAAAAGAAAAGAAAAGAAAAGAAAAGAAAAGAAAAGAAAAGAAAAGAAAAGAAACTTCTTTTAACTGCAAATATGATTCTTGACTTTATAGATACTGCAAATAATACTGCAGTCTTTCTTGAAACAGTCTCTGTCTGCTAACCCCCTATTGGGTTAAGCCACTGTGACAGCAACGAGGGTTTTATCTTGATTGGAAAAATTTTCATTAAGTGGACTAATGAACCATTGGTCCACACCTGAAATATTTTGTAACTGTATAGAAACATTCACGCTTAACAGCATGAAATTTAGTTAGTTTTTTTCTACCCGCTGCAACAACCTGCTTATGTATATAAGATTTCCATAACAAAATTTAAGTAGCTAGATTCCAAGTCAGAGAATTTAAAATATTCTTACTTTCAGATGTTCTCAAACTGGGGGTAGGGACCCCTCAGGGGGTTGTGAGGTTATTACATGGGGGGTCATGAGCTGTCGGCCTCCACCCCAAACCTCCAGCATTTATAATGGTGTTAAACATATTAAATAAGTATTTTTAATGTATAAGAGGGAGTCACACTCAGAGGCTTGCTATGTCCCAAGTACAAAAGTTGAAGAACCACTGACTTAGGGACTGTTATTTTATACTTCCAGGGATGAAGCATCATTACTAGAGCATGTTACACTTGGCATATTTTATGACTGAAACAAAAGGCAACGTAATCTCGTCAGAAAGTCTAACAATGCTGTATTCACTTTGCTTCTGGTGGCTTAAAGTCAACTGAATATTAATATTCACTTTCAAAATACAGTGCCACAATATTTAATTTATTCTAAGAATTTATAATTAATTGTGTATGATTCTGTTAGCTGCTCCCAATTTCCTTCCATTTACTTTAGATAAGAAAGTAAGTCCTATATAGACTTTAAAGGAATTGAATTCAGCACTGAAGCATCAAAAGATTGCTACTGCCTCCTAGAAGCCGGAATAGGGATAGAAAAACATGGATCTGAAATCTTACAAATGAAAATTACCTTTCTGCAAATTGTAACAATTCAGCAGGCAGAAGCTTTCAGTTTATTTTTCCTACCCAAACACAGTAGATAAGCTATTTATTGCTGCAAACTGCTTGTTTTATATATATCTAAGTTAATCAGAAAAAAATATAACTACATGTTCTATACCATTTTCCCCTTGCTGCTTCCAGATTTTCTTCAACTGCTACATATTGCTAAATATACTGAGATATTTTGCTAAATATTTCAAAATTCTGAGTTGAGAGATTTTTAAATAACCACACACACACAACCTTAAGATTTTATAACTGTCATTGAGCACCTTTAATTGGAAAAGCCATGAAGTGAAAACACCATTTCCCAGTACTATCTTTTAAATACAATTTTAAACTAGTTCATTCATTCTTGCAAGATGAATGCATTTTTGCATCAAACACAGTAATTACCAAAGCCAACTAGCTGTAAAATTTAGATATCTAAGCTCCTAGTGGCTTCCCATCTGCAGAAACTTGTCTTTCATATGACAATAAGATTTCAGCCAAGACTAAAAAATGAAGGGCACCAAGAACACACATATGCGTAGTCTCTTACGAATCATAAGTTACCATCCAAAGAATCATACAATCTAAAAGATTAATGTGTTGGTCTTCAGCACTATACTCACAACTCTGAGGGGGGGGGGGAAGAGAGAAGAAATCTTGAAAGCTGTTTAGGCAAAACTAGACCTTTCAGGAAGGTATATTCCTTGATGTGTACTCCTTAAAGTCTACATAGGAGTTATTACTATATTTCAGCAAAATGGGTTTATCAATTCAAGCCCAAGAACTGAGTGAGTTGAGAGAGTCTTAGACTAGAACAAATGTTTAAATAAATATACATTGAATGTGAGAGCTTTTATAAGATATTTAAGCCTTTAAACTTTGCTGGGTTTTGTTCGACAGTAGTGCTTGTTTGATTTTACTGCACTCTATTTTCTGAATTACTCAGAGGGGTTTGACCTATGAATCCAAAGAATTCATACGTAGTGAGATACAGCCCTACTTTATTTTTTTAAATATCAGATGTAACTGAGGAACTGCAAATTAAATCACTACACTCTTAAAAGTAGTATATTATCTATCAGTCATGGGGTTATCTAGCTATGGGGATGAATGATATTAAAAGGCAACTGCCAACTTGAAACCTAGTTAATTTTTTAAAAGTTACAAATATATTTAGATATTACACTTAGCCCAAAAATTCCTTGCCAATACTTGTGGTTAAAAAAATTAAAATAATATTTTCTTGTTCTTTTAAAATGTTTCTCTCTCCAGTGTAATTGTCTAAAAGAGCCACAAAAACAACCAAGGAGACTGACTACATTATCGAAACAGTGAACTGATTTTACACAAAAGGAAGAAAAAAATGTTTTTCCTCCCTAAGCTCTTCTATTTAAGAGCAATCTTAGGTGCTGTATGTACCAGAAGTGAACAATTTACAGAGAGCAGTTAGGTTTTTAAGCTTGCAGTGTTCCTGTATGCACTTTCAGTTTCATTTGCCCAATTCTCAGATGTATAGCATTGATTTTAATGAAATATTTGCAGTTTTATTTCCAGCAAGCCAATCAATGGAAGTAAAATAGGTGCTCCGACTGCTGCTTTTGGTTCCATTAGAACGTATTTTAAACAAATATGCATTGTTTATATAACTTGCAATTTACTTGTGCTCAAGGATAGTATAGTGAGAGGACTGAACAGAAGGAATCCAAAAAAATAAACCACCTACCAGTTCTATCATCACTCCAGTTGTCTGAGTACTGTTATTTAGTGTCACTGTATCAAACAATGTACGTTTATTTTTAATGTTTGTTTTGTTTTAATATCAATCATTTCGACTAACAGCTAAGCTCTAGAACAGGACAGGTAGTAATTAGTTGTTTCTAGTTAGGCAGATGCATCCTAAAACTCCTGAGCAATCTAAAAGCAAAATAATATTTTAAAATTGTACAAGAGCATGTGGTCTCTCATCTGGAGCATAACTAAAAGATATGATATAATCTTACCTTCTGTACACTGCAGGAAGCTGATTATGAGAAGTAACCAAAAAAATTGCATTCTGCAACCAGAAGACACCATTATTGATCCCTTTAAGTATTTTCTTTGTATTCCTTAATGAACCCAGTTATAAATGCCCAGCATCATTGAAGCCAGTGGTCTGTATCATTGATCTTCATACCTGGGGATGAAAAACAAACAAACAAAAAAAGATTCCGTTGTTAGTCATATACTCACAATTTAAAAAAAAATTATTCACATATCGGATATCAAATTTTAGCTGACATGAAGACAGAAAGTCAAAAATATAACATGAAATACAGCTGTACTGTGGCTGGGGAGCAGGCAGGCATGCTGGATTTACGATCAAAGTCAGTGATCAACCAGGATGAAGAAGTTTAAAATGTGATTGTAGTTAATGTGCTCCTACTAAGAGATACAGTGAAGATAAGAGAATGGACTTGCAGATGAGTGGGGTTTAAACACAAAAAACCTCACCAGACACATTATTCTACACAACACTGATACAAAACAGATCCCAGTACAGAAAGAGATACAGCCCAACAATAAAACTTTCAAAGAGAAGCTCAGCGGGACCCCTTCCCATCACAGCTTCCTTACCCTCCACAGGAGATAGGAATGCCAGTTTTTCTATTATGCATAGTTCTGCCTTCTCAGACAAAAAGCTAAAACAGCAACATTGTCATCAAAATAACAATTTTGCTGAGGAAGCTCATGCTTCTTTGACCAGTGGGTTTCAGAGAACTTCTAACCACAATGAAAAACCTTTCAAACAAGGGGGCGAAACCACATGTGTTGCAAGCACATTGTTAATATTGCCACTTCAAATCACATGTACATTAGCCCAGGTCAGAGACGGTATTGCACATGATCACACTGGGTTTAGCAACTGACTGAACTCCTTAATTCTACTCGAGAAACCAACCTTACCTGAACTTTTCCTGAATACCATGTAAAACGAAAGGCTTTAAAAAGATACATTTGATTTTTTTTTTAATGATAGTGGAAAACAGTTATCGGACTGGAAGGTCTGACCAGCCATGTTCACTCTTCAGTCAGTGCCTTCATTCTTGCAACAACCATTGGAATAACAGATTACTTCCTCTTTCATAGATCAGCCTATGAGCTAGATCAGTCTCCAACAGACAGCTGTTTGAGATATTAAAGATATCAATGTGAATGCACAGTTGAATTTCCAGTATGAGTGTGGGCTCTATGAGCTAGAGGAGTGTGCAACTCAGAACATGGTAATAATGAACCTCCAAAAAATGCTGCACAGACATAGATCAAAAGAGACAAGTTCTGTAACCCATTACCCCCGGCCCTATAGTCAGACAGACCAAAATTTTCAAATTTGGGTGCCTGAGGTTACACTTAAAATAAGTACCCTGACTTTCCAAAGTTCCACAGATCATGTATCCTATGTTATCTTTCTTGCCTGTGCATAGCAAACTGAGGTTGGAAGCAACAAAATCACTTAAGCCAACGAAAGGACAACTGCCCGCACACCCCATGACTCTGGATAGTCCTTGGTAGTTCATTTCAACCCATTCACACTTCTTTTAAAAAAAAGCCCCAGAGCTGCAAATGAATGACATTTTATAAAGTTGTTATCGAACAGCCTTGAGATCAGTTGGGACCAAAGCTGCTATACAAAATGCATCAATGATCATGATAGTGCCCTAGTGGAGATACACTGTGGAAGTTTCAGTTCAATAGCCACGTGGGAGTCTATAAATTGGTGTACACTTAGGAGTTGAAAAATCTATTCATCCAGTCACCAATGACAAGTGGGAAAGCTCTCCTTGGCAAGGATGCCCAAATCATTGATTTCTAGAGAATTTACACTTCCCTTTTAAAAAAGTTTATAACCCTCATGGTCACAAATACACTGAGTCTGAAGACAGACAGCTGTAATGCCTCTGATGTTGCTCACTGCTTTGACAAGCAGCAGCAGGGTGAAATTAACAATCACTTCATTTGTTTCAGAGCTGCTATACACAGTCCTGTGGGCAGCAATGAATCCATCAGTGGAATACTGCTGCTGCTTGTCCACAAGACTCAAACCTTACATTGGCTGTGAGTGCAGGAAGACACAATACCAATGCAGTCTGACAAGAGTTTAATAATTTAGAGTAGCCAAGTATGCTGCTTCACAGTGGACATGGTTTTAATGGCGATGCCACTTCACTGTTGGATTTTTTGCCCTCACATACCTCTTACAGAATGCAAAGATCTTACACTCTCATATACAGGGAAATGAAAGAGAACTGCCATTCTAAGCTTTCAACAAAAGAGGCTCTTTTCCTGCAATTTGCAAATACAGCCAACAAGTGCTCTTCAAGCAAAGGGGCAGAGTGATGCATACCACACATGTATTTCCACGAAGAGCAGAACAAACACAGAGTAGCTCTTCCTGGCCCAAGCCCAAGCGCCTAGAGGTGAAAGATTCATCTCCAATTAATCTGAAATAGTCATATTTTATCTCTTAAGTTTTTCATCCTGGTCTGAGAGGGCTTTGCATACTGAAAAATCTAAAATCCACATATGATACTGCATGCAGCTGAAAGTAAGATTGCTAAGGAGTTCCAGCTCAGGAGAAAAGCAGGTATTGACACTAAATTATCAAAAATTTGGAATTCTCCCACAGAAAAAGCCTAAGGAGAATTTAGATTAATTCTTCACCCGTCACACCCAAAGGGCTAAATCACTGAACTATTTCACAGACACTACAGACTGCTCAGTATGATTTGAGCAAGCAATTAGAATAATTTGAGAGTATGGATGAGGCACAATAATGGCTACACATGAAATTAAGTCAGCCTTTTGATTGCTCTCAGTCCATCCAGAGGATTTTGATTTCCTGAGATTTAGTTTTAAATGGGCTTTTTTTATTTCCATAACTTAATGCTGTATGGGCTACTTAGTTGCATGCATAAATCTTGAAATTTTGAAAAGTTTTTTTCCACCTCAAAGTAGATAGTGGCAAAGCTGTGCTTTGTCATTCTTCACCTCAATGCCTTCTTGTTTGTGAGAAAAAAGGAAGGAAATAATTAGAGCACCGTTAGAGACTGATGACCACTTTCCAGGAAATAGCTGCCCAGATAGGAAAACCAATGGCAGAGGGAAGGAGTAAAGGCTTCAAACCTTCTAAATGGACTTATTTTAGGTGTTCTAACACCAAGCAATAGTTTCTAAAGGGGCTTGAGAATGTTCCTGGGACACTACAAAAACAGCAACTACCACCCAGGTGAAGTAACAACGTTTGTGACAACCAGAAATAGTGGGTGTACAACATTTATACCGTTCTACTCTACTGGGAAATAAAACTTGGCTCACTTTGTTGTACTGAAGGCAAAGTATGTCTAAAGAAACTAATTAGCCTTCATCAGACTGTTTATCACTAAGATGTGATTTCAAAAGGCCAGAAGAAAATTCAAATACAGTTCGAAAACTGACCTCAAGCGATTTTGTTTTTGTTTTTTTAACCAAATTAATAACAACTCTCCATTAAGCAAATTGTTATGAAACCCTAAACAGTAACTAATTCTATTTAAATAAAAGGACATTACAATACTGAATCAACTATTCAGCAGCACAATAAAACTAATCCTGTAAAAAGTTACCCCAAAGATGAGCTGGAGCCAAAGGACACTTGTAGGGATAAACGTTGCTGTCAGTCTCGTCTTTCTGACCACGTAAACGCCGAAGATGTGGAGACAATGGAATCTCACAACAACAACAAAATCCAAAAAACAAACAAACAGGACCAGGAAAAGCCATATTAAGTTACCTCTTTGCAAACAGAAAAGTAGATCATAGCAAGTGGCTATCCTGTGCAAATAACTTGTTTCCTCTCAGATCTTAATAGGCCTAAGCTATCTGTGATCCAGAGAGAATGTTTGAGAGTGGAGAAGAGAGATGATCCCCAGAGTAAAAACTGCGTAAGAGTGCAACAAAAGCTGTCCAGAAAACTTCAGCTGTAATTTAAATCCCTACCTCTGGGCCATATTGTAGTTTCTCACAGTAAAACCTGCACTGGAAACCGAGACGTTTACCTTGTGGCATTTCCTTTGTATATTTCCTGTTGAAGGAGGGAAAAAACAGGAGAAGTTGGTATTCAGACTTGTGCAGTGCTAAGGGATGCACAGATCTCTGCTCCCAGCCCTACATATCCTAAAACAGAGGTAGTCCATTATTTTTTGTCTAGGTCCAAATTTCTTGGTCAAGGTCCAGACTGTGGAGAAAATAATAATAATAATAAAAAAAACCAACCGAACAATAATGGTATGTAAATAAAAAGATTTTGGGGTCCATTCAAAAGTGTCTGCTGGTCCAGATTTGGCCCACAATCTGCCTATGGACTACCCCCATCCTAAAATCTCTGCCCTGCTCCCCGACTCCTCTGCACTGATGAAACCTCTAATCCTAGCTGCAAATCTCTTACAGAACATGTGCTACCATTGGCTTCCTCTGCTCCTCTCCCCACTCCCCACTGCTCAGGAGCACCTCAGAAACAGAAAATGCTGCTCCAACTATCAGTTCTCCTTGAAATAGGTACTGTCTGGAGATAAGCAGCTCTGTGAAAGGAGTTTCTCCCGCTTAGACATACCCGCAAATTCTGCAGAGCCCAAGCCCCAAGGGTTCTGAGAGGTCCAAAACAACATGCATGTCATGCAAAGAGCTGTCTCTCTCCCCCCTTAAGTAACATTTTGTCCTATTCTATCAGGCCCTACCACAAATGAAAATGGAGACGAGCTCTGGAGTTGTGTTGAGGTAAGCCTGGTTGTTTCTTTTGCTGAAAAGCTTTCAAGATACCTACAAATACATTAATATTACTACTTTGAATTTATACATACCCCTGTCATCTTAGGACCTCAAAATGCTTCTGCAAACTTCAATTAAGCCTCAACATCCCCAAGGTAGATAAGCGTACCCACTTTATCAATGGGTAACCTGAGGCTCAGAGAAACAAGGTGAATTACACAAGATCACACACTGCGCCAGTGGCTGAGCAACAAGCAGAACTCTAGAGCAGTGGTTCTCAACCTTTCCAGACTATTGTACTCCTTTCAGAAGTCAGAGTTGTCTTGCATACCCCAAGTTTCACCTCACTTAAAAACTCAGGCTTAGGCTTCAGCCCCGCATTGCGGGTCTCAG